AAATTAAATCAGTACTGACAAAATTAATCTTTGCAATGTAGAGAAAAGACAGAAGCTGCATTAGAAGTGGAATTTAGATGCATTTACACACAGTTTAATGCAGGACATGAATGCATTTAACCTGCAGTTACAAATGCATTATCACTGTTTTGATATTTGAAAAAATTTTTTTAAATGAAGATACTTTAAATGTGAAATTAAAACTGCCAGTAGGTGGCAGCAAGTCACTGTTAATAAGTGAGTCATTGCGATTGAACCGAATCATTTAAACGGTTAATTCATTCAGGAACAAATCAGCTTCATGTTGCTCAGAGACGCAAATTGGAATATTTGTTGGCGAAATAGAGCAAAAACAGTCAATATTGTGTCTAAAATGTAAGTGTCTTAATATTAAATTCTTGTTTATTGAACTGCTGTATAAAATCAATATCACATTTGTAATCATGCTGCTTTTTGGTGGAAAAACGTCAGTCTTCGCGTGATACTGATTAACTGTATGAAATGATATAAATGTATACATTTCTGCTCCCATATCTTTAATTTTGTGATCATTCTAAATGCATTTTAATAGACTGAATAATGCAGTGAAATAATTCCCAAGTCCAGAAACGTAGCAAGGAGATCTGTAAAATAATCCATGTGACATCAGGGGTTCAACCGCAATTATACGAAGCTACGAGAATACTTTTTGTTTTTGACCCTGGACCACAAAACTAGTCATAAAGGTCGATTTTCGAAATTGAGATTTATACATCTATAGGAAATAAGCTTTCCATTGATGTATGGTTTGTTACAATAGGACAATATTTGGCCGAGATACAACTATTTGAAAATCTGGAATCTGAGGATGCAAAAAAATCTAAATACTGAGAAAATCGCCTTTAAAGCTGTCCAAATGAAGTTCTTAGCAATGCATATTACTAATCAAAAATTAAGTTTATTTATTTGGTTTTCGGATGATATATAATTATATATATTTTCGGATGGTATAAATCTCAATTTCGATTCAAATTGACCCTTATGACTGGTTTTGTGGTCCAGGGTCACATATAAACATTGTGTCTCTTCAGAAGACGAGAAGAAGCAGCTGAGTCCTTAGCCATCTTCAAGAATCGGCTAAAAACACATCTCTTCAATCTTTATTTGACCCTCTAACTCTAGCACTCTCGAATTCTATTCTTTAAAAAAAAAAAAACTTGCCCCTTTTAGACTTGCACTCTATTCATTTACTAACTGCTTGTTTTCTTTAAAAAAAAAAAACACTAGCTTCTCTAATCTTTTTGTGTTCTATCTATTTGTTTTCTTTTTTATTTATTATACAATTAACAAAAGCAAAAAAAGGCCTCTAACACTAGCTTGCTCTATTCTTTTTCTATTCTGTCTGTTTTCTTTTTATTTATTATATAATTTAAAAAAAAACTTGTACGTGTACTGCGTTAAGCTAACTGAGACTTGTTATAGTACTTGCATATATCATTGCTCTTTTGTTGATTTTGATTGCTTCCAATGTCCTCATTTGTAAGTCGCTTTGGATAAAAGCATCTGATAAATGACTAAATGTAAATGTAAGACACAATCTCTATAAGTATTAAGCAGCTCAATTCATAAGGATTACTTTTATAATGTCTTCATTAACTTTTTGAAGCATCAAAATTTTGGTAGAATCACTCAGGTTTATATCTTAATTTGTGTTCCAAAGATGAACAAAGTCTTATGGGTTTTAATGACATTAGAGTGAATAAATGATCACAGAATTTACATTTAATTTACATTTACATGTGATGTGAATTTACATTTACATCACATAATACACAAGTGAGTCTAATACACTATGCTAATGTACTAGTACTAAATCTATTCGTATGATGCTGCTAAGAGAATCTTAACATGCTTATACCACGAGGAAAACAGGGCTGTGAGTTTGATGGGTGTTGGATGGTGGAGCGAGGACCCTCCTCTTTTTTGACCCTAACAAACCCTTTCACCACACATCTGACGGTCACTCGTTCTTTTACTAATTTACTTGTAGTCAGAGTTAACTGAATTAGCCTTCTGACACTTAGAAAGGAGGACCTAAGCCGATTTCCACCAGCCAGCGATAATTGTGTGTGTGTGTGTGTTAGGGGTTGCAACTTGCACCGACTAATGACTAGTCGACTAGTCGACTTCAATGCTCTGTTCGACTCGACTTTCATCACATAAAAGTCGACTTCAAAAAATCAGAAGTCGTTCAACCCCTAGTGTGTGTGTGTGTGTGCGCTCGCACATTTATTTATTTTTTCTTTCATACTAAGCTTGTTCAGTTATAATTCTGGTTCTAACAATATTTTTCTAACAGGGGAATTGCAACCATTACATCATCACATTTTTTTGCAGGTCAGCTGTGGTAAGATCTTAATGATCTGGTTTTAAATGAAACATTGTTTAAAATGACTGAATTATCCAGACTATATTAGGTTACACCAACAATAGATTGTTAAAGATCATCAGGCAACTCTTTACATTTTACAAATTACTTTTCTTTTTTTCCTTTCCTTTGTTATTGTGTTATTGTGGATTACAGACTCATATTTTGGCAATGGTTTAAATTGGAAAAAAACACCTTAATGATGGGGTTATTTCTTACAAACATGCATTATTATGTTAATTGACAGATTTAAACAGCTTATTGTACAGGTAAGTTAATCACCGTTCTAATCTAATGCGCTGCTACGCTGTAACACACACACATAGGCTACAGACAGTAGCACATACATGACGCGCACAGAATCATTCAGTGCGGAAATGTATTGTCAACACTGTTCTGTGATTTCTCAATAAAATAGCTTAGAAACTGAAAAGTTCAAGCATATATTTCTTAATAACTAACTCACTAATGCGTTCATATTAATGTAATCTTTACTGTGCTACTTTATCTGTATCTGATTTAGAATGAGCAGAAATCTGTGAGAAATATAACGACCCAAAGACAAAATAACTGATAAAAAAGCTGTTATAGGAGCAACAACCATGTGGGCAGAGCTGTGTCATATGCCATAGCTGTGCACAAGGTGTTTGTCACAGCTCCAGACTTATTTGTTCATTAACGATGTCATCAGCGACTAGTCGACTTCGACTCGACTTTCATCACATAAAAGTCGACTTCAAAAAATCAGAAGTCGTTCAACCCCTAGTGTGTGTGTGTGTGTGCGCTCGCACATTTATTTATTTTTTCTTTCATACTAAGCTTGTTCAGTTATAATTCTGGTTCTAACAATATTTTTCTAACAGGGGAATTGCAACCATTACATCATCACATTTTTTTGCAGGTCAGCTGTGGTAAGATCTTAATGATCTGGTTTTAAATGAAACATTGTTTAAAATGACTGAATTATCCAGACTATATTAGGTTACACCAACAATAGATTGTTAAAGATCATCAGGCAACTCTTTACATTTTACAAATTACTTTTCTTTTTTTCCTTTCCTTTGTTATTGTGTTATTGTGGATTACAGACTCATATTTTGGCAATGGTTTAAATTGGAAAAAAACACCTTAATGATGGGGTTATTTCTTACAAACATGCATTATTATGTTAATTGACAGACTGGATTATTGTGATGTTTTTATGAGCTGTTTGGACTCTCATTCTGATAGCACCCATTCACTGCAGAGGATGAATTGATGAGCAAGTGATGTAATGGCAAATTTCTCAAAATCTGTTCTGATGAAGAAACAAACTCTTGAATGACCTGAGGTTGAGTACATTTTCAGCAAATTTTCATTTTGGAGTCCTTTACTTTTTATCCTCTTTTGATCATTCAACTGTCCTGTTTATACCAAAGTAGTACCAAGTACCTCTAAATTCTTTTCTGATTCCAGAAGATCCAGTTACTGTAGGTAAAATAAAATAGTCCACTGTATTGGACTTTGATATGTGTTTACTGGGCATTTTAATAGGAATTTCCATTAAATTATATTATGGTTACCTTTAGGAACATTTACAAAAAAATAATTATGTAATTTTTAAAATGCAAAAAAATAAATTAATTATGTAATTTTATTTAATTATATGAATACAGAGCAACAGCAGCAGGGATTTATACTAAAGACAGCAAGATATGTGTGAAAATGTGCGTGATGGGGGTATGTGTGTGAAATAGTATGAATAATATAATGAATAACAATTCATTATGATATTCATACTATGTTTTATTTTTTTTGCTTATCAACAAATTGTCATTTACTTAGATCACTTTACAACAAAACCATAAATTCATGGTGACAGATGTGTAACATCTGGATTGGAATCATTGCTTTCTTGTTTTGAAGTAAAAAAGAAACATTAAACTTTCCGTAGTGATTTAATAATGCATGCATCAGGGGGTTAAAGACCCATGCCTTATGTTTCCACACGCACACTTCAAGCCATTTCTGCAACCTCGCTTTATGAACATGGCAATTTAACACAAGCTTTGCAACTATACCCAATCCATTCCTGCGAGGCAGTGCCGAGTGATAAACACAAATTAAATGTTATCTTCATCAAGAGGCGACCCCAGAAAGACTCTAAAAATCACATCTCAGCAGTTGTGGCGGTTGCGGCTCATTGCAATAATGATGTGTATTATCATTCAGGCTTACAGTGCCATAACCGCTGCTCAGCACTTCTGCGCACAAAGAGAAACGGCCAACATGCCCGCCGCCGTGATTCTATATTAATGCGCTACAGCACGCGCTGTGCGCATCTTACAAGACGACAGGAAATATGGACATAATGTATCCGTTAACACTCGGGTCACACATGAAATATTACCACATTACCACAGTGATTGTATAGATTCATCCGCCGCCCAGCATCTCTCCATCTCCAAAAGAGCTACGGTTTGCTTCCATACATCCCTTCTTCAATGCCAATATCATATGACTGTGCTCGCGCAGCAACCTGCATTACGAATGCCTGGTTTCGCGAATAAAAGCCTCAGAGTAGCGTTTCCCCTGCTTTGAGCAGATAACTTACTTTTCACAATGGCGAGGATGCAGAAGAGCGTCCACAGAGCCATCATCTCAGCGAGGACGGGGAAGCATCTGCCGCGCGTGAACTGCTCTCTCTCCAGTGCGCGCGTGTGGTCGTGCGTATCGGAGCGTGACTTTGTCGAGGTGGACACGCGCGCGAGGGTTAAAGATATTTTCTTTCTTCTAGACGTTATTCAGTACCTGGCATCGTTACGTCAGCGGCTGTAGGTCGCTGAACGCGTGGTTTTCCCCAGCGATGGAGTGGGAAGGGTTTTATGAGCAGCCAGGTAGATGAAGGACTAGTCGCGGTGCGCGAAAGGAGATGCGACGAGATGACAGAAACGGCGATGGGGAGGGGCGGGGGAGGCAGGCATAGCTCAGATTCCCCTTCACTACATCCGGTTACATAGAATGTGTTTTTTTTTATCATCACAGGACACTTACCATTTCCTTTACAAGGTCATTTGGTCCACCTGAAGACTCGCAGTGCGTCTCAGAAGAGGCTTTTCTTTTCAGTGACAGCACATTCTGTGGAAATATCGAAACCAGTTTCTCTGTCTAAATATGACTTCAAAAGTAATCAAAATATTTGAGATTACAATTACAATTCCCACAATAAACTAGTCATGAAATGTGTAACTCATTCTGTTGTAGATCTACTTCCATCAAAATGGTCATCATGAAGTGGTGGGGAATTGCAAGCAATCACAGACAGTTCTGTTGCAGAGAAGTTCATTATATGAGAGGTGTGAATTATAAATTTAATTACTATATAGATTCTCTATCTTAAACATATGCAAAACATATTTTGTTGAACATGGTAGAATACCAAATAGGCATTTTCCCCAATTTTAAGAGATACAAGGATCTGTTGGTCTATTTTCGTCGTCCGTGTTTGAAATCAATAGGTTGCACTTCAGTATGTTTACAGTACAATCTTAAAACTAAATATATATATTGGCATCTATGGTTCCATGAAGAACCTTGAACATCTGGTGGAACCTTTCCATTGCACAAATGATTCTTTATAGTGGTAAAAGGTAATTTCGATTATTAGGTTCAGATCATTTTTTTCATGCTAAGAAAAAAAATCTTGTAAGAACCGTTCCATGGAAAGTTCTTTGGGGACCCCAGAATATACATCAGTGGTACTTCTTAATATTATTAATAAGATGGCTTGATCATTTTACACTTTAAAGGGGTCATATGATGCTTTTTTAAAGATCAGGGGCGTGGCAGAGTCTTAACTTTGATAAAGAATATCTCTTTGGTTTTGAGACTTTAGTCTTTGCAACTTCAGGGATCTTATCTATGCACAATCAGCTTGTAACACTCCAAAGAGAAAGGAAAACTTGAAATCGCATCATATGACCCCTTTTAAGCACTGAAAAAAAAATTTAGTCTACATATAACAGGAACTTGATAGAAATGTGGACGTGCACACCCAAAATACACTAGAAGCGAATGATGCAAAGCTGCTGAACTTTGCAGGACTCTAACAGTCGCTAACTTGCATTTACACTGTAGCTATGATGATTATAATTGTCCATGAATATTCTAGAATGTGTGATGTTGTGACTCTCGATTTCTTTATATAATCTGTTCAGAATTTGAGTGACAGTTGTGTTTTTCATGCTTCTACCAGGTCAATGTGATGTTGACCTTTTAGGTACTTGATTTACACACTCTTAATGAAAATAAAGGTTCCAAAAGCTTTATTTATTTATTTATTTTTTGCAGCAGCAGCAGCAGCAATAATATAGAAGAACCATTTTTGGTTGCCCAAATAATCTTTCATTGACCAGTTTTTTTTTTTAAAGCAGGCCCTGCCTGGATGTTAAACGTTCTTCATGGAAACATTGATGCTAATAAAGAACATTTATTTTTAAGAGTGAACTGATGAATAAACAGTTCTCAAGTTGTATTGGATATGTAGCCTACATAAAGTCAATTAATAACTGTGATTACAGTATCATGGGTTATAATCAACAATTACACATACACATTTTGATGTCAACTATCCAGCTGTTGTAAGGCAGCATCACCCTACTCCAACAGCAAGAAGTAAAGCTCGCTCTGTATGGAGACTTACGCTTCATTTGTTTTGCCCCAGGGGAGCGGGTGGCTGGGTGTGAGTTTTTCAAGGAGATGGGTATCGTCTCTCCACCAGTCAGCATCGGTAACATCACCGTATGACTGAGTCCTGTCCCCACATCACAACCGCTCTTGTCGGCATGTCAGTCACTTCTGGCCTTTCAACCAGTGGTTCTGCAGTTGCTGTGTGTCAAAACTCAGTGCTCAGCGTTCCAGAAATAACCGTCGCTTCCGGGGAGATGATAGGGTCTCCCAAGCTCTCCCCATCACATAGTTCGCTCTCTCTGCATCTCATGCACTCACAATATTTATGGCTCTCTCTGTCTTCCATTACACACTTACACCCTTTGGCCAAAATGTCTATTTTTGCAATTTCTCTTGGGGGACCCCTATAGATGACCTTGGCTTTACATCACTGAAGACACTAGCAGGAGGAGGAGGATCAAAGGAGGGATGTGGAAACAAGAAAGGGGAAGAAAAAGGAGAATGGATTAATAGAGAGAAAGAGAGGAAAGAGAGAGCAGGGAGATGGAATTAATGTGCAGGAAAGCAAAAGCTTGGTCACTGATGACTCACTGACTGTTACGTAGGTATTCATGTCCTATTCACACCATAGTGTACAGCTATGCTCTTTACGAGCAGTGAGTCACACAGAGATGAGAATATCTCAAGCTTCCTGGCATATGATGTCTTTCATATTCTGACTTACTACAAAGTGTGGCGAAAATGTTGAAAATGGAGAGGTGACAGGAAGCAAACGTGAAAAAGATCTTTAAAAAGCAAGAGTAATAATAATATATTTGTCATCATTATCAGGGTAACAAGCATCCTCCAAAGTGTTCGACCTAACCATGTAATGTATTTGCATATTTATATAATGTATAATTTCTAAGTATTTTTAAAGGGGCCATATGTAGAATTCAGAAGCCCTTGTTATTAGTGACTCCGGTGGCCTTTATGCAAACTTATTGCTTGTGCACATTAATGAATCCATTTTCATTGTATTACACATTGACATTACAGTTCAGACACACACACACACACACACACACACATAT